ATAAAGAATATATTCTTAATTTCTTAAATAAAGAATATATTCTTAATTTCAGAAGAATATCATCTAAAATCTTTAAGAAGATTTTTTAAGTATAAAATCTTCTACTTACAAGAATATAATTTTTTCGGTGTACAGAAAAGACGGAAAAAAAAACTATTTTTCTAAAAGAACAAAATTAGCGCGTACAAAATTGTTGCCGCGTCAATACCTGTTATTGAGAGCAAAAGCCCGGCCAAAACGATTTGAAAAAATATAATCAAATGAAACGTATCCTCCAAGTTTTCGTTGAGTTCCGTCAACTCGCAATGTCGGTCGACCAGACTCGCCAATTGTTTCCGACGATTTGTCACTGTGTCCGGTTTGTTCGCAAGATTCTCGAATTTTCGTTTGAGTATACCGAGCTGTCCGGCCAGATGTAGGGTGACGTTGATGTAAAAAGGTTCCGAAACCAATTGGGACAAACATATCACAGCTATTTGAAAAATTTGAACTGTGAATATCATTGCGTACTGCGGTCCGGTAACTCTGCTACCCAGCATGCCAGACGGTATGAGGAACATCCAGTTTATTGTGATGTTATCTGTGTACGCGCAACGGTACAACATATTTCACTGAATTAGTTATTAGCGAGATATGTTGCGAGATGATTACTTTTTGTTATATTTGTTCAAACAATTCGACAGATTTGTGTGTGTGTGTGTGTGTGTGTTGAAAATACCTCCTTCCGTTGCATTCAGATCCGCTAGCAAAAGCGCTTGTTTCAGATTCACGTAAACGATTCCAAATATATAAAGAACACTAGGCGCGACTATCGACCACGTTAAAATTAATGTGAATCTTCTGGTTTTAAAGGCGTTTTTCTTCATGATCTCGAGAGAATCCTCATCCTTGACCACGGACGACCAGTCGTTGATCGCGGCGCGAATGTTTCTGGCCAGTTTCTCACGGTTGACAGTAATAGAGACGCACTTTATGACCAGAAGCGATATGCACGTGCAGAAGACCACGATGTCTATGGTCGCGGCGATGTCGCGATCGTCTCTGGTAGCTTCCATAAACAGGAAGATGAACATCGTCAACTAACAACGATTCCTTCGCCTTAGAAAATACAGTATATGTTTACGCATATAATATAAATATATATATAAATATATATATATATATATAATAT